AGAATGAGGGGAAGAGGAGAGAAAGCATATTGGGAAGAAAATAAGGGTAAGATTGTAATATCCTTTCATAATGAAGATTAAAGACCCTTTTTATGAGTTTTTATTAGCCACTTCATATAAAATGGTCCTATTTTCATATGTCCACCTCATCAAAATTGCAATGTTAGATAAATGAGTGCAAATATTGCCACATGACCCTAAGGTTAATGACAAAGCAATAAATTAATAAACATAAATGTTAACATCTGCTTGCATTATCTATTAAATTTTCGGAGATATAATTCAACAAATTGTACGTAGTGTGATTTAATTCAACATCAAAGTATGTGGGTCAAAAAATTACAAGGAAAAGTAGAGGGAATCATTTAATAAGCTTAAAAAGTAAAGGGACTAAATTACACTTTTCACCATTTCGTTTACCCTGCTTGTACTTTAGTTTCCATAGAATTGTTCCCTGCTTGTTCGCATAGTTTCCATAGAACTGTTCGAGGTTTCTGTTTTAAATGCATGGTCTCTATTTTCTTATCAAATATATGAATGTTTTTTTACTAGAAGTTTCAGTGATTGAAACTTTAAACCTATAGTTGCAAGTCTAAAATTTGAGTATTAGGATTGATGTGAGAAGGGGAATGGTTATTTCCTGATGTTTAAACCATCTTCTTAAAGTTTTTTTGTTCTGATTTATATATATATAAAATAAAATTTATTGAAGTCAAATTAAGAAAAAAAAAAAGTGGATGAAGTGGGAAGAAAACGTGAAACGGCGAGCATTATTGAGACACATGTGGAGGTTCGGTGTCGGTTCCGTTAGGTAGTTGGCGTGGAAGAATTAATGACTATTGTGGGACGTATGGGAACCGAGAAGAACGTGCTAAGGGAAGACTCTGTCGGTGAATAAGGCGACGCCTCTGAAGCAAAACCATTAACATGGTAGATTGGAATAATTAATATTTTTAGATCCAGTGAGGGAAGTTACCCACTTGATTTCGTTTTTTGCCCATATTTCTTTACTTGGAAATTTCTGGAAAGAATCTTGGCCAAGAAATTAATGGTCGTTGACCATTTTGCAAATCAAAGCTATGAAGAGTGGAAAGCACTTGATCCTGCTTGTTCCAACTTTCAAGTCAAGCTCCAATTAAAAAATGATTGTGCTTTGGGCATGTGAAATGTAGTTTGAAAGTCCACAATACGAACTGGCGACCCAAATTGATCAATCTGACCCGAA